CCATCATATAGGAGCTATCTTATTAAAGGTATTAAATTTAACATCAAGGCACAAGATGATGTGCGGACAACTCAAAATAGTGGAGTTTATTTACTTGCACATACCATGCAAGTTGCTAGTGCCAAGGATAAAAACCCAATTCTCTCAAATATGAGTTTCTATGGTGTCATTAATTTGGGACCGTGACTACCAAAAGTTTACAATCCCAGTCTTTAGGTGTGATTGGATAGATAGTACTTCTGGTCTTGTAGTCGACAAACTTGGATTTACCCTTGTAGATTTGACTAAAATTGGACATATGAATGACCAATTTGTTTTGGCTTCTCAAGTCAAACAAGTATTTTTTGTTGATGACCTAATGCATCGTGGTTGGTCGGTAGTGTTATCATGACATTAATTTTGTAATATATTGTAATGTGATTTCTTCACTTTCATTATACAAGTTTTGGCCACAAAACAATCAATACAAAAAATACTGGTTCAAGATTACAAACACGACGGTCTTGATAAAAATGTGAAAAACAAACGTCTGTTCTAATAAAAAACGACGTTTTGGAGCATTCAACGACCGCAATATATTCACTGACGTCTTAAAGCAACGTAACAAAGAAGAACCACGACGCTATTGTGAAATAATTATTAAGGATATCACATCGGAGAAGCATAAAGAGCCGCCATGTAATTCCAAATAACACGACTCCAATCCCATAATACCGACGTCTAAAAGACGAGATATCTAACCTGAACCTTACAAAAGACGACGTCGTCTTAACTTTACCCCGTCGCATGTTCTTTCATAAACGAAGTGGAAAAGGACGAATTCACGGCGGTATTTGAAATCCATTGGTAAATTTGTCGATGTTAAGATATATTTGGACATTGTTCCTTTACAAAAACAACGTTATATCAATGTATCCATGTCTCTTTTCTTATGATAATGTCGTTAAAATTTATTTACACGGTAAATTTCGGATAAACAACGCCGTCTAATAGGAATTAGACGGTGGTAATTTTGTTAATGATGACGTATAAATTATGAAACACGCTGTCTTTTGCATGATAACGACGTAGTATATTGACGACAATGTCGTCTTTATTAATTAATGTGTCGTAAGTAAGGACCCCAACATATTTTCCACGTCATTTATTTTCAGATCGTGTCGTTAAAGCTATTTTACACGGCGGTGGACTGAGAAACGTTGCCGTCTCAGATTCATTAGACGACGATTATATTTTAAAAAATGACGTATAAATTCTGTAATACGGCTCTCATTTATTTGGAACCAACGTTGTTTATTAGTAGAACGTCGTCAGTGTAAATATATGCGTCGTAAGTAATGACCCAAACATCTATCTCCACGTCATCATTAATAGAAAAATCGAAGTGGAAAACTCATTTCACGACGGTTATTGTAAAGATACTGACGTAGTAGGAGTCAATAACGTCGTCGATTATGTATTTAAAGACGTCATATTTTTATTTGTCGTGAAAGGTATATTTAACGGCGGTGAGTTTTAGTTTTCGTCGTTGTATATATATCTTGCGGCCATGTTCTGTTAATATATGTCATATGTTTCCTTTTTAACGACGTTTTTTTTGTTATAATTGGTCGTCTATTCTCATCCTCGACTGGTTTTTTTATCTCTTTTTCCATTACAAAGACGTCGGTTATTATTTGTTAATGACGTTGTTTGTTTTAACAACGACGGTGATTCAGCGTCGTGGTTTGACACTCAAATAGATGTCGGTCGATTTCACGATGGTTTGAAAACCGAATACACGACGGTGAATTCCCGTCGTCTTTTGCCTTTTTTGTAGTAGTGATGCATGTTTAACCTTTCTAATTAGTCTACTTCCTGATTGCAGATGGGGGAAGCACTCCACTTGATGAAGCCCGTATTAGTGGAAATAAGAAACTAATCAAACTACTAGAAGTTGCCAGAGCTTTGCAGTTGTCAGAATTCTCATATCAGTATCATCAAGAAACTACCTATGCATGTCTCTGATCAATGTGTATTATCAATAATACGTTTATCGATTAAATGATAAATGTTTATAGGAGATGGAACAAAAGTTCTAAGATGTTGATATATTGTTGAGAATTTTGTTTGAATCTTTAATTCCCCTTTTGATTTTCTAATGTGCGTACCTTAAAATGCATGGATTGAACTATTATTGTTTATCTGGCTTGATAATTCTCAATGTCAATTATTCTCACTAGTCTTGTAATAATCAAGGACCTGAGTAATCTTGGATCATGGAAGTAATGCATGAATGCATCAAGTAATCTAGATCGGAACAGTAAAACGAAAGAAGCACAACGTTTATTCCCACAAATAGTCTTAGCTAGGTTACATAAATTAATGCATGAGCAGCAGCTGCATGCAATATTATTGAAACCCAAATCACAACAAAAGGAGAACTTAAGAAAATGCCACTTTCGCAGGGAACGCGATTGCATTTAGCGTATGCAATAAGCCTTTTAAACCTATAGGTGACCCTGATAGGACGAATGAAGTCTCGTGAGGGTTTCCAGTGACGCTACCCACAAACATCTAATTAACTGAACAGGATGATCATCCTGGAAGTTTTTCGACAATGAAGGCAGGGGTATTGGTGGGTCTTGCACTTTCGGCAGCGAGGGCATCATCGAAGTCGGTTCCAGATTTTGGCTCTGCAAGGTTTCCCAATTGCACGTGGACGAACTGGTATACGCCGTCGACATACCATGACCACTGGTTTTTATTTGGCTGCTTCTCATCAGCATCAGCCACAATCCACGTACTGTCTTGGCCTGCTGTTCTCAAGTATTTGTCGTTGTACGTGGATTTTATATGCACCAGACTGGGTTGGTTTACGTCCTTCTCCACTTTGAACCTTGCGTATTTGCTGTGACTTTCCTCTCCGGAGGCTTCGAGCCTATTTGGCAGCTCTGCGGTGGATTGGTCTTTGAGGACCACGTATTTCTGGTTCCTGACTGACTTAAGGGCAAAAAACTTTGGTAAGTCTGCCATTTCTGATGATCTCTGTTTCTCTCTCTCTCGTTGCTTATTGCTTTTCCTAGCTACAACCTGCTGTGCTATTTATAATAAGCAAACCCAAACCATGCATGCAGCTTTCACTTATTTTTCTTGCTGTACTGGCCCGCCATAACAGAGAAAATTAAATCCACAAAAATCGTGCTGTTAAACGAACAATTAACTTAATACACCATACTACCAAACTATTTATTGAATTACTAATTTACCCTAATATAAAATGATCAAAAAAGATATATTGAATTGTGAAACAAAAGTAATTTTAATAAGTACACCCTACTCAATATATTTGAACCCTAATCAAATTAGAATTTTCGAGTTTGATTCCAAACATATTTGAGATAAAAATTCAAAGCTTTTGTCGGGCGTAAATTTTTTTTCTATCACTTCCATAATTCCTGACATCAATGAAGAAAAAGCTTTGAGAGGAGAAAAGATTTAAGCTGCCGAACATAATCCCTTGCCAAAAATCCATGGTTATTCATCAAACAGCGTGAAAACAACTTAAATATTATTTCATTTTGATCAGCAAAGCTGGCCAAGCTTTTATGAACTTTTGGAGGGAATTGTGGAAAGTCCACCACCTTCTGCACCATCAGATGAGTTCTCCCCGAGTTTTGTTCGTCTGCCTGTTAATAAGATATTTACATGCATACTTCACCTGATACATATCTAATTCACTGGCATGTGACTGTTTATATTTCCCATTACATTTGCAGCATACAGAAGAACCCTCAAGACAGATCATCATCTTTAGACCTTCTGGTTAGTACTCATGAATTTGGTTCAATGAGTGGGTGTATCCCTGACGGTTTAGATTTGATGAAGGGAAAAGGAGTTGACAGGAACATATTTGATGAAGACGACCAATTCATGTAAAATGGGGTGTACTAATTAGTATTATGGTGTAGGGTGTACCTAGTTAATTTTACATTTTGATTTAAATATTACGGTGTACTTATATCATAGAGTGTACTCAGTTAATTATAGGATTCGTTTAACAACACCCCACAAAAAAAAGAAAAAAAGAAAAGGCGTGCTTCACATCTTCAAATAAAACAAAGATAAGCTTAGTACGTATTTTCTTCTTTGTTGTAATGTGAACTTGATTATGTAATTTCTACTACTTGTACTTATGGGCCATAGCCATTTACCAATTATAATTATGTCATTAATTAGGATTGAACAACATAGTTGTTGAGGTGTTTACATACTTTAATTACGGACGTATGATAGGTTTAGGAGAGTGGTACGTAGTTTCAATTGTTCCTTTCACACAGGCACATCTTCATTATTTTACTGCGAAACCATTTCTCTTAAGCAAAAGCTATCAGTTTTACGTAGGTTTGACAGTTGCAGAAGATTCTTTTTAATTTCGACCCTCTACAAACAAATAAATCAAAGAAAAAAGAAGAAGAGAATATTAATTAATTCATATATTTCAATTTCTTGTGTGAAGCTTTTAAATTCATTTCAACAGAATATCAGTAAGATGAAGTTCGATTTCCTTGAGCATGAAACGTATCCTTAATACAAGAATAAAGCTTCAAAGATCGCTTCATCTACAGCTTGAAAGAATAAAGCTTGAAAGATAGCTTCATCCATAGCTTGAAAGAATAAAGTTCGTTTTCCTTGAAAGAATAAAGCTTGAAAGATAGCTTCATCCACAGCTTGAAAGATAGCTTCATCCACGGCTTGAAAGAATAAAGTTCAATTTCCTTGAGCATATCATCACTGATCTGCTGTAGTGCATGATGAGATTCTTTCAAAAATAGCTTCATCCACAGCATGAAAGAGAAAGAATAAAGCCTTTTTGTCCTTCTTCCGAGTCTCCTTCAGTTTGATGGTGGGAATGGGATTTGGCTATGGGATGCGGTCTATGCAACCACCTCTTTGTCCCCTCTTGCTTCGTCTTCTTGGAGTTAGTTGTGGAAGATCAATCATAGTAATCCCAGTAATCCGAAGCTTTACGGTAATCAGGCCTAGAAGAGATATTTTGTATGAGGCAAGGCCATTGAAAATCATAATGGATACCAAAATCAATTATGTAGATCCTTGTTGCTTTCTCACCTACATTCATTATTGTCTCATTTGAGAAGAAATTTGATAGCTTCTTAAATGCACATGTGGCAAGATAAATTGACAGACTTTGACGGTATGATCGTTTTGATACTAAGTGGAGAGTTTGAGGAATATTGCAATGAAAAATTTAGTTAGTGGAGCAAAATGAAATTTGAGCAATAATTGAGGGACCATTTCGGTCAATAACCATATAAATTTTCTTTCTATGAAAAATGAGCATACGCAGTAAAAATTAAAATAGTGTCATAACATTATATCTTTTCAATCAAATATATACTCTCAACTTAGATATAAAATTAAAAACAAGATACATGTTGAGAGTTGAGACCTATGCAAAACTTGGTGTCATCTCTAACACACACAAAGAGACACATGCGAGGTTAGGTTCCCAAAGGGACCAAGGCAAGTTACTCAAGCCAATGAAAGGAGTAAAGGCATCATCCACTTCTGGTTTAGGCTCTTCTTTCCTTCTTATCATGCCTGTTATTTACATATAATGTATTAATTAACTTAATTAATCCCATTTTAAAATGTTGCGGCTACGTACAAAACAAATCCTAAACACACTATTTACTATAGTAATGTAATAACAATAATCATTCGCCCGATATACATATTAGTCTTAATACAAAAAACTTCGTTTCATTGATAATCATGATTATAATCTACAAATTTCTTAATTGTGTATGACAACTTGTATACAAATTTCTTCATTCCATTTTCATATTATGAGTTTCTTTATGTGTAATGTGAATGAGGCAGCAGGTTTTCTATAAATAAACGCAAGTCTACTTCAAAAGCTTTACCTTTACAGCGCATCATACAATAAAAAAAAATAAGTAAACGATCCACCTCAAATATGGTTCACAAGAGAATATGCAAAAAGGGTTGTAAAGCATTAATTGTGTGCATTACTTGTGTTGCAAGGATATTTCTGTAAACTTATGAATTGTAAGTCAACTGTCTAATTCAATGGAAAATGACTTTAATTTGCAGACCAGTAGTCTCAGGTTCAAACGTGTGTGTGTAAGAGATCTCCATCCCTTTCCTAACTTCGGCAAATATATATATAT